CAAAAGCACAGGAGCACTGACAGGAAGAAGAAGGCACTCAAAGGGAGAGAAAAACATGAAAAAAGAGGAGGACTAATAAAAAGGGAAAATAATTCATGTCAGAAGAGGGGAGAGTTTCACAAATCCAGTTAAAGATAAGATTGTAGAAAATTCAGTGTAATGGGGCCCCATGTCTGTGTCCGCCTTGGGCCCCCAAATTGCTAAATCCGCCACTGCCTATCACCTTGTGCCTCACGAGTGCCGGGAGTCCCCCTTTCCATACGAGTGGGAACCCCCCATCATCTGCCCTCTAGGCTGTACCACTCCTAACGTGAGGTTGAGGCTGAGGTCTTCCCTGGAACAAGCTGCTGGTGCTGACTGCTCATCTGCTACTGAGCCATTTTTGGCTGTTGAACTGCTGGAAATACAGCTTCAGACACAGGCAAAGGAGTCCTTGTGGAAAACAGCTGGGAACCACTGCCCGGTGATTTCAACTCGTACAGTGGGATGCGAAAGTTTGGGCAGCCATGATTATCCTCTATAAATTGTTGATTGTTATGATAAAAAGTTTACAGGATTTACAGAAAGTGTGCAATAATAGTTTAAACAAAGTTAGGCAGGTGCATACATTTGGGAATCACAAAGAGAAATGAAGTCAGTATTTAGAAGCTCCTCCTTTAGCAGAAATAGCCTCTAAACTCTTCCTATAGCTTCCAGTGAGAGTCTGGATTCTGATTGAAGGTGTTTTGGACCATTCTTCTTTACAAAACATCTCTAGTTCATTCAGGTCTGATGCTTCTGAGCATGGACAGCTCTCTCTAACTCACACCACAGATGTTCAATAATATTCAGGTGTGGTGACTGAGAAGAACATTCCAGAACGTTCTACTTGTTCCTCTGCATGAACGCCTTAGTAGATGCTGAGCGGTGTTTAGGGTCGTTGTCTTGTGGAAAGATCCAGCCCCGGTGCAGCTTCAGCTTTGTCACTGATTCCTGGACTCGTCTCCAGAATCTGCTGATACTGAGTGGACTCCACGCGTTTCTCAACTTTAACAAGATTCCCAGTCCCTGCACTGGCCACACAGCCCACAGCACGATGGCACCACCACCATGTTTTACTGTAGGTAACAGGTGTTTTAACTGGAATGCTGTGTTCTTGTTCCTCCATGCATAACGCCCTTGTTATGCCCAAATAACTCAGTTTCATCCGTCTGCAGCACCGTATTCCAGAATGAAGCTGGCTTGTCCAGATGTGCTTTAGCAGACCTCAAGCAGCTCTGTTTGTGCTGTGGGTGGAGAAAAGGCTTCCTCTGCATCACTCGCATGCAGCATCTCCTTGTGTAAAGTGCACCGAATAGCTGAGTGAGTGCGTTTACATGCAGCCAGTAACCCTTTTAAAACCTGAATATTCACAATAACCCGGTTCCGCACGGCCATGTAAACACCGCCAAAAACCCAGGTATGCTCACAAACGGGTTTTTAAAAACCCGGCTACTACACCTGGGGTAATCCTCTTCTAACCCGAATGTTTGGTTGTGTAAACGCACACCAGGATATCCCCATCAAAGCGTGTGTTCTGCGCATGCTCTGTTCGCAAGGAATCTTGGTCTTTTGAGTAGCGAGACGTCTTGTATGTTTAGCGCAGCTCTCTCTATATTTGCCATTTCTTGCTCACGTACTCTCCTTCGAATGAAGGCCAGTATGCACAGTCGTTGTAAGAGCTGCTGGTGGGTCAATACCAGCACTAAAGCGCAAACGCGGTCGCTATCTCTTCCGAACTGGGAAACATGTTGTTGTTTTCACGGATACCGGAACAAGAAGAACCGGAAATGACACATATTGCGTCTTGACGTAGTCCATACGACCTGACGCTACCCCAACATCCGCATTTAAATCGGGTTATGCAAGTTAGAGGTAACTCTTTCTATTTATGCTTGTAAACGGGTTATTCTGATCAACTCAGAAACCCGAATACCGACCTTAACCCGATCATAACCCGGATATTGGCTGCATGTAAACGTAGTCAGTGATGCACAGTGACTCCATCTGCAGCAAGAGGATGTTTTAGGTCTTTGGTGCTGTTCTGCGGGACCGTTTCGCTGCTGTGCATGGGGTGTGGTGGGGGTTGGGTTACACAGGGACTTTGCAAGCTTTTTTAAAGTGTGTGTGTGTGTGTGTTAAGATTTCACTGATACACACACACACACACACACACACACACACACACACACACACACACACACACATACACACACACACACACACACACACACACACACACACACACACACACACACACACACACACACACACACACACATTCTCCTTATTCCACCACAAGGTGTGCACCAGCACCAAAGAGCAGAGACTAGGAGGGTCCAGGGCTTGCCCCTCTGGAGGAAAAGGTTGGAAATTTTATATTTAAAATCATCAGTCTGGTGCAATTTGAGGAAAAAAGTAGTTAAACTTGTCACGATGAGAGCAGGAGGGGGTTAGGACCCAAGATGCAGAACACCAGAACGACTCAAGGCAGGAGCGGTTGAAAAAAGTAAAATCCTTTTTTTAAGGTAGCAGCACAAAACGCACAAAACAGAGACCTAAAGATAAGTGAACTAATAAACCTGAAACTAGACACCATAACAAACAAAAAACACTAAATCTTCAACTTGGGAAACTAAAGAGACCAGAACCAAAAGACAGGGAATCTATGGGATGGGATAACTAAGTATGAAGTGACTAGGGGGAACATGAGGGAGACCTGGAGGGGGCTGGGGACAAAAAGGGCACAGAACATGACAACAGGCTGATGAGAATGTATGATAAATTATCTATATATGTTCATGGGATAATATTATATGTGATTGATTATATATCCTGTCCTGTCTTTTATCCATCATGAACACCGACTACAGCGACATCCTCTGATGCATCCATGCTGCTCAGTACCAGACCTGTATGATGTCACTAGTTACTAAAGAGCCAATCAGCTGCCAGAGCTGCTGTTGAAAGTGTGAGCGAGCAGAACTTGTAAAACTCAACTTAAGCAACAAAGCAGAGTCCAGCTGCTGTTATTTATTTGTTGATGTTGTTTATACAAACTAAATGTATCTGCAGGGCTTTAGGCCCAGGGCAGAGTTTTAGATCCAGACCTGTTATCAATAATATAATTCCTTACACCAATCAGAAAATTCTGTAATGTTCACAGACATCCAGACCTTAGAAGTGAAATCAAATCAACATTAAACTTAGAACTGATTATTATTGTTTCTTCATTAAAAGTTTAGTTCTCTGTGAACACTTTTCTACTTGATGTTGTCCAGCGGAAGCAGACATCTGCTTATTTCTAACAGAGCTGAGCTGTGGGGAAAATATTCAGGATTATTTAATCTTATTTTCCATCATCTGTGGGTTTAGTGCAGTCACTTAATATTAATTCTAAAATGACAGGTGACTCAGGGCTAGAACGATGAAACGCTGCTCACTGAGCTCAACAAACCAATTTAGAGTTCCAATAATTGGTTCTAAAGGTTTGGGAATCAATAAAATGACAAGTGTCCAAATGTATGCACCTGCCTAATTTTGTTTAAACAATTATTGCACACTCTGTGTAAATCCTATAAACTTTGTTTCTCTTCTCAAACGTCCCTGTGTGTGTCTCCTATATGACATATTTAACTGAAAATTTTAAAGGGACATTATGGAAGTTTGACAGCCAAAACATGTGTAGAAATAATAAATGTCTTCTTCATACATTCTCCTGCAATGCCCTGGTCCTGTAGAATGAGCCCTGGCATTTTTACTGTGATTGCCTGTTTTTCTGTAAAATCACAGAAAAAGAGAGATGCTCGGGTCGAGCAGGCTGCTTCATGCGCGTTCACGCTCAGGCATAGCCCTCCGAACCGTTCTTTGAACGTTGTTTCAGCTGTCATCAAGGAAATAAATGTTACAGATACATAGGATGTCATTGGTGCTTTAGCTCCCCTAGTAAGATGTCAGACTTTTGTGCAGAAGACCCAGGTTCGATTCTGGATGGGAACATAGTTTATGTAGAGTTTCTTTTTTACATTAATGATACATATTTTTTTACAGTAAGATGCCCAAATTTTTATTTGAGACTCGCCGAACGGCATTGAATTCACAGATAAAAAAGATGTGGGTTCAACTTTCATTTTGGAACAATTTTTAAAGCAAGGGCAGGGAATGATCTGAGCATGCAGGAGGACTGACCCATCATTAACCTTTGTCGGCTGTGCTGAAGAGAAAGCTACAGAACCAAATTATTTAATTAATTAGCTGCATGTTCTCCTGTCCTCTGTCCTCCGGGCCCCACACACACACACACACACACACACACACACACACACACACACACACACACACACACACACACACACACACACACACACACACACACACACACACACACACACACACACACAAGGGACTGTCTTAGCTGTTATTTTCGTTAAGGAGTGTGCACGTACAGCATGAGCGCCTCGTGCACGAGCCTCCTATTGAAGCTGCCGTTACGCTTTTGGCCTGAGGGGGCAATCGCGAGCATAAAAATTCAAAACTCCGTAAAGTCCCTTTAACGACTATTTGCAGGAAAATCATGAAGATTAACAAGGCTGGCCAGACTTTTGCCTCCCGCTGTAACTACTTTACACAATGATCCCAATCCTGATTTAACGCTTTTGTTGTGATGTATGGCCCTGAATTGTTTTCATGCTGCTTTCCTGGACCAGGTAGCCAATGAGAGTTTCTCACCTGGTGGAATAATAATTGTACTTGCGTCCACAGTGCCATGATGCAAGAGAACCACTTCCTTCAGGCTTTGAACATGACTGATCTAACATTTTTCAGAATTTTTCTCATGCCAAACAAGAAACTAGAGAACATTTCATCACATGAAACAGAAGTTAAACCTGAAACAAATTTTTATTTAGAAGAGAAATGCAGTTTTAAAGATTTTTATTGATTTTTTCCTTCTTGCTTTTTTCCCACCTGTTTTGCTGCCCTAGGCTGCGAGGAGATCCTAAAGATGGCTGTAATTCCTCGGCCGCATGCCCACCACCAGTCTGTCACAGACAACGGCTATATTTACCAGGTAAACCCGCTTTAATGGAACAAGATAATCTACAAACATAAAGGTGACCTGCTTAAGAAGATGACACACACAGCTGCAGTACACTGGGGCTCACACATGGATAATCACACGTGAAATTTTTGCAGCGTTATTATCGACTTCTGTTCTACACGAGACGTGTCAAGCTCAGTGAAAAGTGCTGATAAAGACCAAAGAAATACACCTTCCTGCCTTTCGGGGGGGGTTTTTTTTTTGCATTGAAATATTTTGTCGTTCGCCAGCATGCTAGAGACATAGGAGAAGAAAAAAGTTCTTTGGGCTGGACTAAATAAGGAAATATGTGAAGGAGACCACCAGGTCAAAGTGGGAATCACCTCCCAAGGTGGTGGAGAATGACCGAGCTAAGGTCCTGTGGGACTTCCAGATTTCAACAGAGAAAAATGTTAAAGGCCAACCAACCGGACATTGGGATCATTTATAAGAACAGTTTTTAGGATCAATGTGGCCAACTCATGAATGAGCATGGGAAACTGGAGAAATACCAAGGGCTCAGGGAAGAGTAGGAAAGAACCAGGTAGATGAAGGCATGATCTTCAGACCTCTCTGGGCAGTGACCTCCATACTGGAGAAGAGGCTCCAAAGAAACCTGGACAAACATCTCACATCTTAGTCCAGAAGAGCACAGTCCTAGGAACAATCAATACTAATGCCATTAAGAACCCTGAAGCTCGCTGGCTTCTGGTAGAGAACCCCAGCTTGATATGAAGAGCCACCCACCCCGCCCAGGGGATGGGGAGATGGGTGGGAGGACATGTATGTGTTATATATATATATATATATATATATATATATAACACATACATACATATATATGTATGTATGTGTGTATATATGTATGTATGTATGTGTGTATATATATATATATGTGTGTGTATATATGTATATATATGTATGTATGTGTGTGTATATATGTATATATATGTATGTGTGTGTGTATATATATATATATATATATATATATATATATATATATATATATATATATATATATATATATATATATATATATATGTATATATATAATAGAGTCTATCTCTATTGGGGACAGGGTTAGGGCAAAAGTGATTACCATCTACAAATCAGGGAACAAAACAGACCCTGACAATTACAGACCAATCAGCATATTGTCTATTATTTAAAAAATTGCAGAGAATGGGTGGCTAAATCTATTTTACAACAGTTGAACAGTGGTGATCAGTCCCTTCGTCCTATGCAGTTTGGCTTTCTCTGTCACCACTCAACAGAGACAGCTGTCTGTGTTTTATCAAAAAGGCTAAATCATACTTGGACAGAAATGCTTGTGATGCTGCTGTTTTTATTGATTTTAAAAGAGCGTTTGACAGAGTGAACCATTTTAAACTCATCTCTAGACTTGCAGCATTTAATTCTATGCTCAAATGGCTCCAATCATATCTATCTGACAGAAGGCAATGTGTACAGATAGGTGACAGTAAGTCATCATACCATTATTCTCCAGCAGGTGTCCCCCAAGTGTCAATTTTGGGACCATTACCGTTTTCACTCTATGTTAATGACTTGCCAACCATATGTCGAAATGTAGATACCATTATGTATGCCGATGACACAGTCATTTTTACACACTCCAAAAGTCCTTAACAACTTTCAACTGCTTTAAATGACCTCCAGACATGGCTAGAGGACTCGTGTCTTTGTCTCAACATCAAGAAAACTGTGTGCATGTTCTTCTCCAAACCAACATCAAGACTGACACCAGCAAAGGTGGATCTGAAAGGAGAAGAAAGAAATACAAAATGTTGAACAACTCGAATACCTTGGGGTATGGTTGGACTCAAAATGATCTTTTAGAAAATGTGCAGAATATTGTCAAAACTGTAAATTATAATTTGCGTAATTTTAAACATATAAGAGCGTCCCTGACAGATAAGGCAGCAGGCACATTTTTACATTGAATGTACTGCCTCACATCGGCCATTGCATCACCAGCTGGTCATATTCTGCCTCTTCTGTTATCAGACCTGTTGAGTCCTGCTATAAAAGGGCAATAAAATCCTGGACAAGAAGCCAATGATGCATCATCACGGTCTGATTCAGGATAAATATTCTCTACAGAGTTTCCAAAATTTTAAACATTTTAAATTTGCTTGATCTATAAAGTTATTCATGGTCCAGCCCCTCCACCGCTGAATGATTTTATTATTCAAAAATCACAAAGGGACTCTTCCCGAGTAGCTCGAGCTACAGTTAGAGGTGACTGTGAGCTCACGCTTAGGCGAACGGCATTTTCTCAAAACGTTCCGTCATTCCAGGACTCGACTTTTTGGAACAGCATTCCTACTCAAGTGAGAGAACACTCAAGTTTAGTTACTGTCAAAAGACAATTGAAACTGTGGCTACAGGAAATTCAAAGATGCAATCATAGATGACACTTTTATTTGTTTTTACTCTTGTCTTTTCCGTAAAATATGTTCCTAACTGGGTTTTTTTTTCTAAATGTACATTGTTATCTGTCTTTTCTCATTAACCTGCCAGAGGACTGCAGATGGAAATTAGCCTAAGGCTACAATCTGGCATATTTTCAGTTGCATTGCTGTTCATAAATATGCATTGTCCTCTCTTTAAATAAAGTAAGTAAAGGGTTAGCTGGGGGGCGTGACGTCACATTTCAAAGGGTCTATAAAAGAAAACTACACCTCTGGATTTATTATAAAACTGTTCAGTTGTTAACTGCTCATGCACATGTTGCCATGCTATCATTGATTGTGTTCCTTTTTGCAGAATAATCAAGCAAAGGTTGGCCCTCCAGTCATTGCACTAGCACAGTCTTACCCGGAGTGCAGGGCGTGCACCTCGGGCCGTGGAGCTGACGCAGAGTGTGACATGGACAGCTGCAGTGAAAAAACCAACAGCTCCAACTCCATGACCAAAGCACAGCAAGCCAGGTTTGTCATAAAACTATCAAGGCGTGGTACATTTCTAACTTTAGTTTGTATTTTTTAAGTGTGCTGTTGTACAACCCTAGAAATCCAGTTGGGTCTGCCTCTGCCATTGCTGGGGAGGAGCAGTTTGAGGACTATGGGGAGGGGGTGGATGTGGATTTTACTCCCAACAGCTCTTGCCCTGAAGAGGACAATGGGACAAATGGCCTCTCAGAGTTGCACCCCTCACTTCCCTCCAGGTGTGTAAACGATCTGGATGTGAACCCATTAGAAGTGCCAGAAAAAATCAGTTAACGAGATTCATATTCATAAAGATTCTGAATCGATCAATAATTTCCATCTTTTGTTACTTGAGGAAACATTTCCTAGCTTATTGCTGCGCATACTGTATCAGTGTAGCCACTGATGTGCATCCATCCATCCATCCATCCATCTGTCCATCCGTCATCTGTCCATTTTCTCCCTCTTATCCGGAGTTGGGTCGCGGGGGCAGCAGCCTAAGTCGAGAGGCCCAAACTGATACTGATTTTGTTCAACTCTTAATTTCTGACAGTTTTTGCATTTTGAGAACAAGGAGACCTATCTGAAGAGTTTTACGTATAATATGTGCATGTTATGTAAAAGTTGGGTCATTAAGAGTAAAAACCGACACCAGTATTTTCCGATGTTACCGTAGACAATTTGTAGAAATTTTCTGAATCCTTAGACAAACTGTAAAGCAGATAATCTGGTGTTGCATCATGGTGCTGGACATGCTGATTAAAACCAGTCCGGGTGCCGGCCACTCTGAACACAGAAAACAAATTACGTCATGCTATGGAAGAAGTCTGAAGGGAGCCCTGGTTGAAGCTGGACTAAAGAAGAATATCATAAAGATCTTATATCCAGCTGCAAAGTCTCATGCTCACTAAATAATCTGTATTTGATGGAAAACATTCCTTAAAGCTCCTGTTCCTGCAAAAACCGAGTGCGTCATTTGGCGTTGCCATGCAGTGCTCTCTGTAAGATATGCACTGCTCAAAATAATAAAGGGAACACCAGGGGCAACAATCCTGTTTCATTTTGGTGTGGGGCACCTTTATGCCAGAAGAGGACTCGTCCCCCCTGGGATTCTCGCTTATGGGGAACACTTACCTTCTCAGTGGCCTAGTGGTACAGTGCCCCCCCCTGGGACTGGGAGATCGGGGTTCAAATCCAGGTCAGGTCATACCAAAGACTTTAAAAATGGGACCCAATGCCCGACTGCCTGCTTGACACTCAGCTTTAAAGCGGTTGTACAGTCACTGCAATTAAACTGTTCCTGTAACTGTCAATGACACTTCTTCACCTCTCAGCAGGTATTTTGGCCCACTCCTCATCAGCAATAAATAAATAAATAAAAATATATATGGTACATTTCCTGTATTTGTATTGAGCTTTCTTAGGGTTCTACAACCTCCAAGGTGCTTCACAACACAATTAAGTCATCCACACATTCACACACACATTCCCATCCTGGTGATAATGAGCTACATCGTAGCCTCAGCTGAACTGGGGCACACAGACAGAAGCCGGACTGGCGTATACCGGCGCCACCAGTCCCTCTGACGACCACCAGCATGCATGGCGGATGAAGCGTTTCCCAAGGACACAGCAGCAGCGTTCTCTGGCAAGAGCCGGGATCAAACCTACAACCTTCTGATTACTGGACAACCAGCTCTCCCTCCTACTGCTGCCTGTATATTTATGTATACACATAAAGTTATGTGATTTGGTCATTTTTATTTAGCAAAAAGCAAAATAAGCAACGGCAAACATTAAAAATCTTTGTGTTTATTTTTGTATTGTTGTTATTTGGTGTTGGGAGTTTTAGAGCTTTAATGTTGAATGGTTGAGGATGCTCATGTACATTTGCCCTGAGCCGAGAGCACATGTAAGTGGTTTCATTGCAGCATCGTTGTATTCTTTGTAACTGCAGTGCCAAGCAGACTCCACAAAAGATGCAGCAGATGTATCACAGCGACTTACTGGACATCTATTGCTCTCAGTGCTGTAAGAAAGTCAATCTTCTCAATGACCTGGAGGCTCGACTTAGAAACCTCAAGGCTAACAGGTAAGGAAACGCTAGAAGTCTCTGGAGCTGAGCCGAATATGGCAACATGAAATAAAACTGACTCCTGTACCCAAATTTATTGACTTACATCGTGCACCTATAAGGCTATTTTAACATTTTCACAAGGAGGACAGCATGATGATGATAAGGGTCCATCCCAGACCAGAGCTTGTATGTTATATTTAATAACAATGCTTGAAATGAGGAGCAGCATCGGTGGAATGAAACGGTCCTGGCAGCAAGTAAAGATTAAATGCAAAATATTCTCCAGAATCTTAGAACTCAGTTTTAAAAGATTAAACCCACATTTAATAGTAAATTAGCCACTAAGAAAGAAAGCTGCAGCTGCCGACATGCACCTCTGACATGCCTCGTCCAGTCGTATTCACCAAGCCTCTGTATAAGAACTGTAAGATGTTCTAGGAAGGTCTAGCCCAGTGGTCCTCAGTAGGCGGCCCGTGGGCCCCCTCTGTGGCCCCCGAACCCCGCGTGCAAAAAAAGCAAACTTAGCGCTGTAAACCCCATTCGGTCCTGTTGGATGGACTTCTCTCTAGCCGTGAGGTTATCTTACTAAGGCAGAAAACCTGAGATGAACATTCACAGCTCAAAAAATAAAGGGAACTCAAAACTAAGACATCTAGATGTGAATGAATGAAATATTCTGATTAAATATTTTGTTCTTTATGTAGTTGAATGTGCTGACAACAAAATCGCAGTCAATGGAAATCAACTCGGCCCATGGAGGTCTGGAGTGGGACTCGCACTCAAAGTTAAAGTGTAGACACGCTGCAGGCTGATCCACCTTTGATGTAATGTCCTTAAAACAGATGTAAATGAGACTCAGTAGTGTGTGTGGCCTTCATGTGCCTGTACCACCTCCCCACACCTGGCCATGCTCCTGATGAGGTGGTAGATGGTCTCCTGAGGGATCTCCTCCCAGACCTGGACTTAAGCATCTGCCAACTCCTGGACTGCCTGTGGTGCAACGTGACGTTGGTGGATGGAGCGAGACACGATGTCCCAGATGTGGTCAACTGGATTCAGGTCGGGGGAACGGACGGACCAGCCCATAGCATCAATGCCTTCACCATGCAGGACCTGCTGACTCACTCCAGCCACATGAGGTCTTGTATTAGGAGGAACCCAGGCCCAACCGCACAAGCAGATGGTCTCATAAGAGGTCTGAGGATCTCATCAGGGTACCTAATGGCAATCAGGTTGCCTCTGGAGAGGACATGGAGGGCTGTGTGGCTGACCCACTACCAAACTGGTCATGCTGCAGGATGTTGCAGGCAGCAGAACGTTCTCCACAGCGTCTCCAGACCCTGTCACATGTGCTCAGTGTGAACCTGCTTTCATCTGTGGAGAGCACAGAGCACCAGTGGAAAACGTGCCAGTCATGGTGTTCTCTCACATGTCAAACGTCCTGCATGGTGTTGGGCTGTAAGTGTGGCAAGGTGGAGAAACGAGGGCCCGGGCAGGATTCGATCCCCAGACTCCCGGGTGAGAGTTACACGCGCTAACCAGTCAGCTAGAAGGACATCCCACTGGCCAAGAAGCCAGGGCGCATGATCAATCAGGAAACAGTGACAGGACGCTCACACTGTCACATAAGTGCACCCCCCTCATGGACGTCGGGCCCTCATACCCCCCTCATGGACGTCGGGCCCTCATACCCCCCTCATGGAGTTTGTTTCTGAATGTTTGAGCATTTGTGGCCCGCTGGAGGTCAGTTTGCAGCTCTGGCAGTGCTCCTCCTGAGGTGGCGGCCCTGCTGCTGGGATGTTGCCCTCCTATGGCCTCCTCCTCTCCTGAGCCTTTCTCCTGGTAGCACCTCCATGTTCTGGACACTACGCTGACAGACAAGCAAACCTTCTAACCACAGCTCACATTGAAGTGCCACCCTATCTTCTATATTTTTAAAGGAATGTTGTTTTATATACAAACAGTTATTTGGTTAAGATTGTTGAAAGCCGATAGTGTGAATAACACAGCAGTATCTGCACAGTAAACTAGATGGTGAAAATTCTGCGTTGTTGCCAGAGATTGTGATGAAGTTTCTCTGTTGTTTCAGTCCCAACAGAAAGATTACCAGTACAGCATTTGGACGGTGAGTAACCCGACCTTCTGGTCCAACATTAGTTGGTCGAGTGTGCTCTATTTTTCTCTGATATGTTTCCTCTTCCCTGCAGCCAGCTGTTCCAGGCCAACCATAGTGTTTTTGGCTCCAGTCAGGGCAGCAGTACAGAAGACTTGTTCACAGACAGCATTGACTCTTGTGACCTTGACATCACAGAGAAAGTACACACACACACACACACACACACACACACAACCGGGCTTTAATATATTAATAATAATGATCATCTGTTTCCCATGAATGACGTGACTTGACATGAATGACGTGACTTGACATGAATGACGTGACTTGACATGAATGACGTGACTTGACATGAATGACGTGACTTGACATGAATGACGTGACTTGACATGAATGACGTGACTTGACATGAATGACGTGACATGAGAATTAGAGAATGGGTTGGATACTAAACATGAAATGTGTGAAAAGGATTGAAAGCTCCACTGAAGGACATTTGGATTGCCAGCCCATGGCAGGATTTTCAACTCAATGTTTTAAATAGCATGGGTTTAAAAACTGTTATAGCACAACCTGGTGAGAGCTGGGTCAAAGGTCAAAGGGAGGTGGTGGAGAACCTAAATTTGGAGACGGTGTCACGTTGAGAGCAGGAGGTTTGGACCCAAAATGCAGAAAATCCAGACTACTCAGGCAGGAGCGGTTGAAAAAGTAAAATCGTTTATTTAGGAAGATAACAAAAAAACTCCAAAGGGAAGGAGGCCAAAACCTAATAACATGTACATCCGTGTTTGGCCCATTGATCGTCAGGTAGATCTGAATGTCATCTGGATAGATATGATAGCTGATGCCATAGATTTTTAACCGGTATGTTTTATCGCCAGCGGGAGTTTTTCAGTGATGAGGTATAGACCTGACCACTTCGGCAAAAGTTTCTTAGCCAGTTTACCAGAGGAGAATTTTGTCTGACCCGACTGAGGAGCAAACTTGTAGAACCAGGCCTCTTATTTCCCTCTGGGATTAATAAAGTATTTTTGAATTTGAATTTGAATCACAGACGTTGAGTTCAGAATGCGAGGCCTTTTGATCAAAGTAAGGAGCAGAGTCTTCAGCAATGGTCATGGCAAAACAGCAATCCTGACTATCAATGATGGTCCGTACATGCATGTAACTACTCTGCGACAGCGACATTCTTCCCTTACCGAGTCAAACTGAACCTGGTTGTCTCACCCAGGTTAGTTATCTGGAGAAAAAGGTGACCGAGTTGGAGAGCGACAGTCTTGCCAACAGTGACCTGAAATCTAAACTCAAACAGGAAAACACGCACCTGTTTCACAGGTAGGGCCGTGCATCATGCGAGTGTTTGTTTAGCATTTAGTCAGATTCACTTCTACTCAACTATTTCACATTTCCATACTGAGTATTAGGTTAGCTTACCTGGAGTAAATCCTGCGTTATGGACATGAAGAGCATACTGTTTAGAGATTAGGAATTCATCACAAAGTCATTTTATGGACAGTTGCTATATCACTTCACATTTACTTACATTACTCATTAGTTCTACATAACTAAATGTTGAAGAAACATTTCTAATCAAAGTCAAAATATTTTATCTCAACTATTTGCATTCCAGGGTCCATGAGCTGGAAGAGCAGGTGAAGGACGCAGAGACGAAGGCTGCAGAGACTCTGGAAGAAGAGAACAAGCGGCACCGAGATACTTACAGCAAACTGGAGAGAGACAGGAACACGGAGATTGACTTGCTCTGCAGCAGGTAAGCTCCCATTCAGTCCGTTATGTCACCTCGGTCCCAGTCGGACCTCCGAGGAAGAGGTCTGGAAAAAAAGTCTCCTCAGGATGGAAAACGCACATCTGACCCTGGTGGGAAGCCGACTTCTGGTCCTGTGTCCGACCGTACCGACCCAGATGTATAATATTTACCCGGATCCCAAACACGCCTTTAAGATTGGCTCTTTGCATAAATACTCTGAATCATGAACAGTGTTTGGTAGTGACACGTTACTAGTAACGCGTTGCTGTAATGCAGTTATTATTAATATCCATCCTTCCATTATCTTCTGCATAACTTGGGTCGGATCTGCATAGAAAACTCATTTCGGCCACTTCCTCTTCCCGTCTCTACCCAAAGCTCATGACCATAGATGAGGGTTGGGATGTAGAGGACCAATAAACTGAGAGCCTTGCCTTTCGACTCAGCTCCCCGGACTCGGGTATTCCAATAATCCGAACATTACAGCTCCTCGAGCGGCCCTCCTAACCATCACGTTTCCCCAGTAGCTCGGAGACTTTCCTTAGCTCTCCTACCGAGCTCCAAAGAGAGGCAACCTTGTCCAACTGCGTGGACAAACCGTCCTCCATTTTCGTAACTCTTGTTTTGACCCAAATGACATCCGGGCGAAGCGCCGCTGCAGTGCTCTGTAATTTGGCCTTCATCACCCTCACCCTCCGCCAGGGCTTCCTGGGCACTTTCAGGATGTGTCAGCTTTTTCCGTCACGACCAGAACTTGGAAGACCCGTGATGACACCAAACACAGTAAAAAGTTCAAAAAAAGTTACCGAAGAGGGCGAGGCAGGAGACAGAGTCGGAGAGGAGGCGTGGGTCAAAACCAGATCGGGACGAGCAGGTACAGGGAACAGGCTGGAGACGAGGTAGCAGACAGGCGAGGGTCGTGGGGCAGGCAGAGTTCAAGGCAGGGGTCAGGCGTGAAAACGAGGTCCGGAGGCTGAGATCAGCCAAGGTGAAATGCTGGAAGATTTACTGGCAAAGAGCGTTCAATAATCTGGCACTGGATGGAGAGCAGGCTGGGAGTAAATAGCAGAGGGAGCAGGTGTGTGGGATGAGCTGATGACAGGAACAGGTGAGATGAATGAAGTTGATGAGGTGCAGGCTGAGGTTACTGTGGAAACAGGTCATGGCAGCAGAGGCAGAGGAGGGTGAAAGACAGGGAGTCATGACATTTTCAGCCCAATTTGATACCAAATGTTAGAGCTTGAGCATCCAAAACAAGAAAAACTATCAGGAAGTAGAATAATGTACAGAGGAAAAACGTAAACAAGCACTTTGCTTTCAATGCTGCCTCGTTACTGAAATAATCAAGCCTGCTCCAGTCACCGGTGGGGTCGGATTACAGCATCAGACTGATTGTGTTTGGCATAAAGAACTGGTACCAGTTAGAAAGACAAGTCAGAAACGGTAATGGAAAGAGTGTTTGTGGGTGCAGGGCTGATACAAAAGCACTTAGACTGCTGCACTGATCCATAAAACCTCCCTACAGGGTTCAGCAGGTAGAGGAGGAGAACGGAGAGATGACGTTAAATGTTCGCAGGCTCAAGTCTCAGTCAGAAAAACTGGACCAGGTGAGTGAAACTGTCCCACGAATAATGCTTGTTACAACTTGGATTTTAATTATGGGGATTTTATTACTGACTGTGGCAGTTTGAAACCTTTTCTAACAGCCAGCTGGTAAAAATAAAGCGTCTTCTCTTCCTGTTCCTGAGTTCGGGTCTTGGTGCAGCCACAGCCACTGTGAACAGCTCCTCCGGTGGGACCCTAGTGCATTTCCAGGTCCAGCATGCCTGGGGTCTGCCTCAGGCACTCTTCTTGTACGGATAATTTCCAGAGTGCATCCTTACCAAAATCCAGAACCACCTCCGCGGACTTTACTCAACAGGATTAGCATTGGTTGTACACCTCTGCCCGCCGCCTCAGCATCTTCTCCTTTAGTCCTGATATGTAAAGCATCCTTGAGTCATTGTTAAAAGCACTATATAAAACCTATGCATTATTATTATTATTATTATTATTATTATTATTATTATTATTATTATTATTATTACCCTCATCTTTGTTTAAAAGTGCTTTTCAGTCCATCGGTCCCAGCGTGCTCTCTATAATTAATGCTTCTCTGGTTTCTGGTCAGGTCCCTGCTTACTTTAAGAATGCTGTAATCCACCCGCTTCTTAAAAAACAGAGTCTTGACCCCTCTCTCCATAGCAGCTTCAGACCCATCTCCAAACTTCCGTTCATCTCCAAGATCTTGGAAAAGGTTGTGGCTAAACAACTCACAGCTGCTCTTGATGAACATAACATCTATGATAGCTTCCAGTCAGGTTTTCGTAGAGCTCATTCTACTGAAACAGCTCTTCTTAAGCTTGGTTTATGCTTGACGCATTCACTTTCCGCGCGGTGATGCGGCTCGCGGATGGAACGCGCTTCACAACTTGCAGCGTTTATGGTTCATGCGGCTCGTCTCTGCGGTGAGCCAATATTCTCCCAAACTGTAGGGGGCAGCATGGAGCTCTACGGCATGAATCCAACACTACACCATAGTAGAAGTAGAAATTACTGTTTACAACATGGCATTTCAGCATTTTTAACAGCGTTCTCGTCTTTTCCGACAGTGCGAGCTATTTCTCTCCAATAATTATTAACAACATGTTGATCACGGTGATCTCTGAGAGCTGAATCATACAAATGTCTGTATTTACCAACCTCTGCCATACTAGTTCTTGCCGGTCCGCCATGTTTTTCCGCGTCCGACCGTCCGCGTGGTTAGAAATTTTCCGAGGTGCGCGTTGCGTAAATCTTGGGCCGCGCGGAGACGCGCTGGAGGGGCGTGGTTGTTAAAATGACGCAACTTTTCCGTGCGGACCTCGCGGACGCATCAAGCATAAACCAATCTTAAGGGTCTCTAATGACCTTCTGACCCACAGTGATGCAGGGGACGGTTCTGTTCTGGTCCTGCTGGACCTGACTGCAGCCTTTGACGCTGTTGACCATCACCTGCTACTGGAGAGGCTGAGACTCAACACCATTATCTGTTGTCATGAGGGTTCTCCAGCAAGCATGCAAGGACGAACAGAGTCGAGTCCACTCTTCTAAACTTCTGTTGAACAAGATGGAAAGCGCAAGCTTGTGATTGGCCAGAACACCGCTTCCTTTAAATTCATCAACAGCACTGCCATTGCCCCCTTAACCCTCTGGAGGCAGGCGTTGCAGATGTGCAACGTTAAACCTACCTACCTGGGTGCTCCACACACGTATTTCATGAACATTTTTAAATCAGGAGTACCCCTGAAGGACTTAGTTGTTCGTCCTTTTATCGAAACTTATTTTGAGCCTGAGAGGGTTAAAACATAAAAGTGAGCCGACAATATCTAGCGGCAAACAGGGCAGCTTGAAGAATAAATGGCAGAAAAACTGAAAATGTGTATGCGTATGCTTATCCTGTGACTGAAGGAGTATAAAATTACACAGCAACTGTTTTATTCATGGACGGAAATGATGGGAAACGTGGGTTTAGAGGTGGAGGAGAATGAGGGACAAAATTGTCTGTTAAAAATCTCTAAAATACAAAACATTATATAAACACAATGGTAAATACTCTGTCTGGGAGCGGATACGTGACAGAACAGCGCTACGCCCTCTGTTGCCCTGGCGGGGCATTGCTTTGCGACACTGCCCAGGTGACGTAAACATCTGTCAGTGTGTGTGCATCTCTCTCACAGAGCTGACGGAGAAGCATACATTAGGCTTCAGCTGCAGCTGTTACACACCTGCTTAGACTCTATCAGAGCCTGGATGGTGGGAGCTTTCTTCAGCTGAATGAAGATAAGACTGAGATCCTCATCTGTGCCCCAGACAAGCTGGTTCCCAAAGTCAGAGACTCTCTTGGTCAGCTAACTTCCCACACCAAACCTTCTGTCAGGAGTCTTGGCGTGACCTTTGACCCAGCTCTCACCCTGGATTCTCATGTCAGTTCTCTTGTTCGCTCTTCCTTCTTCCATCTCAGGAACATTGCTAAGCTGAGTCCCATTCTGTCCCGCTCTGAACTTGAGACAGTTCTCCACTCCTTCATCTCCTCATTCTTAGACTACTGTAACTCTCTTTTCACGTGTCTGAGCAGAACCTCCCTGAACCGTCTACAGGTGGTTCAGAGTGCCTGTGCTCGGCTTCTGACCAAGTCCTCCAAACACACCCACATCACCCCGCTTCTCCTCCAGCTTCACTGGCTGCCAGTCAACTTCAGGGTTCATTTCAAGATCCTGGTTCTGGTCTATAGGCCCTTACATGGACAAGCACCATCTTACATTGGTGATCTTCTTAGTCCCTACACCCCCAGCAGGTCCCTGAGGTCCAGTGATCAAAGCCTACTGGTTGTGCAGCACCAGGCTAAAGGTCAAAGGTGACAGATCATTTGCTGCTGTGGCCCCCAGACTCTGGACCTCTCTCCCCCTGAGCCTGAGATCAGTGGACTCAGTGGTCTCCTTTAAACTCACCTGTTCAGGCTGGTTTTCTTCTTCACTAACGTCTCTTCGTGCTGATGTTTCTGTCTGTTCTGTCATTTTTGGGCTCCCTTGCTTTATTTATCTCATTTTTATTTTTATGTTTTTGTGAAGTGCCTCATGATTTTTATCTTGAGAGGTGCTATATAAAAACCATTTCTTTTGTCTGCTACCTGATCCACAAATCACTGGATCCTTTGGGCTCATCCTGCAGAAAGTAGCCCTACAGGAGAATGAATCTATGTAACTGACTCAGGCTGGGAGTGATCAGCCCCCACAGGCACACACATGGCCACCAAGCTCCTGCAAACAGCCGGTGTCGGTACATGATCGGCTCGGGGTCCTTCGACTGCCGATGACGTCAACGTAGTTTATTGGCTGAACATGAAGTTTATGGAAGTGATGTTACCACGTTATGATTCTGATTGGTCAGAACAAATTTGCGGTCGTAGTCTTAGCGGTTGTAGTCCTGTAGTCCAAAAATCAACACTTTTTGTAGAAAACACGTTTGGATTTCTAAAGGAAATGTAAAATGTAAGCAAATGATAAACGGTGACCCTCAAAAGCTCTTGATGTTGATGAAATGGGGCAAAATAAAATATAAGAACTTTATTGAAAGACACCAAGCAATGTTTAGAGTCACAGAATGTATTTAGATAACAACTAAGGAAATATACAGATGAGCTCCACATTAATACAAACAGACGTGGCTTCACATATAAGAACTGTTTGTTTGTCAGTCCGATGTTGGTTTTATGCAGTTTCACATTCTTTACTAAACAAAGATAATGTGGTGTTTTATTAACAAATTACAATTATAAAGAAAACATTTAGGTGTTAACAAACAAGAATTTATTAACTAAACTGCTGATGTCTTTCCAAAACGTGTGTGTGAAAGCCGAGTAGATTCGCAGTCATGTGACGTCATCAGCAGTCGAAGGACCCCGAGCCGATCCGGTACCGACACCTCCAGCCCTCGCACCTCGGCAGAACTGTTAGTGTTCTTGTAATCTCAGTATTTCTAAACTTATATTAAAAAGGTTGTTTAACCTGTTCTCGGAATAAAATGAATGTGAATCTTTAAAAATAAAACCTATTTGGGGGGGGGGGGGGGGGCATAACTTGGACTTGTGATCATTTTGGTTTGGATTGGTTTGCTTTGGAAGGTGTGTGTGTGTGTGTGTGTGTGTGTGTGTGTGTGTGTGTGTGTGTGTGTGTGTGTGTGTGTGTGTGTGTGTGTGTGTGTGTGTGTTTTGTGTGTGTGTGTTTTGTGTTGTGAGTCAGGTTCTCTCAGACCTGTCATGTTTGTGAAAAACATCGTCTTTTACTGGGAAACTTCTTTTTTACTTATTATTTTTGAAAATGACTGGTCCTTCCGAGTTTATCATCATCATCATCATCATCATCATCATCATCACCTTATTTATAACGCACTCTCAGATGTGCCCCAAAGTGCTGCACACTAAAACAAGCTAAAGCAGGATCAACACTTTAACAAGATAACATACAGAATAAAGATCAATCCACTAAAACCAAATAGTAATAAAGTGACATCATCACATTAAAAGTGTGTCCCTCATTCAGTTACAGATCCCAAAGCCAAATAAGTCTTTAGCTTAGATTTAAAAACATTAAGAGGAGGGGCTTGTCTGGTAATAAGTGGCAGATCGTTCCACAGTCTAGAAACAACCACTGGAACATGCAGGCTGAACATGAAAATAGTCTCCTACACCTAGCTCCTGCATCAGTTTCTGATAGAAAACAGACAGTGAAACTCTGGGATTAGAAAATCCTGACAGATCTACGTCACACTGTCACTAACATTCATGGACTCACAAAGAGGAAGGCTGTTGTTGGGTGAAGCTCCTTTCACATGCGGGCCCACTCTACTCCACACAGATACGCTAGCCTGGGTCTTTTCCACAAACAACCAGTCATTCTTTCAGCCCTCTTCCCAAGGCGGTGTGCTTCGGGATGAACTGTCCCAACACACACACCACCGACAGACTGGCCAGCTGAAATTCACTCCTACCTTTAGGGGAAGCGCCAGCTTGGCAGACACAATCAGCCAGTGGGGGTTTCCTGCATGCACGATTCATTATCATTCTCAATACTGAGGAGGAAACATCTCCTCACTCACACACTCACACACACACACACACACACACACACACACACACACACACACACACACACACACACACACACACACACAACAGCACTGCCAGGCTTGAGCTGCCTGCGGGAGGACAGACGCAATAGTCTGGATGCCATGTCAGAGTCTCCAAAAATAATTTAAGAGAGGCACCACAGACTTCTCCGTGCATCTTTTGCCCCGCCCACGTGCTCTGAGATTAACGTTCCTGAGAGGTGTATGTGAACTAACCCTTCTGGTGCAAGACCTAGGCCTGACGCCATCCAGCCTGGACCGGACCGGGAACGCACGTGGAAGCGCCAGCATCCAGGAAACAGCAGAGAACATCTCGACTATTAGAAGCTAACCGTTAGCATTAGCAAATCCACCACACAGCAGAAGTCCTCCAGGCTTGTGTTATTTGTTCAGATAAACATCTACGTTGCAGAACAGTCAGCAGTAGAGTCATGTCTCTGTGAGCCAATCAATTCAATTCAAAATTCAAAGATACTTTATTAATCTCAGAGGGAAAGTAGAGTTTCAGTACACAATTCAGAGATCAGACATACATGGGCATAGACATATGGCAAGAATTGGTGACTGTGGTCATTCGCAACCCGAGTCTCGCTACCTTAATAGAGATCAGAGGGGTTTACATGAGGATTGAGTCAGGTGGAGGAAAAAAAGGCACTTCAGAGTTACCCTCCACAGGGAGGGCAGCTTTGCTCTGCAAACAACACCTCAGACAGATATGCAACAGACTTCAGACATCACACAACGTAAGTGTCCAATAGGTGGGGAGGTAGGGTTGGGGACTTTCCAAACATCAGTGCATGCAGCCGCGATAAGCAGCGCTCGTCACCTCCGTTTGGACAGGGGAGGGAGGTAGTTGGGTTTAGTGACTCCTGGAAACGATTCAACGACCTTCACCAGTCGCAGTCCCACCCAGGCTGGGATAGGACGACAGAGTTGCCATGGTGACGGCAGCATTCCACATTTCTTCTGAGGGGGAGTTATCTCTTCAGCCTCACAGGCTCAAGGGCACCAGATTCAGATAAGAACTTGTTTTGGGGCCAGACAGAGATAATTTCCTCTCTGTCTTAAAGTTCTGTTGGTCCTCAACCCCTCTAAATCCAATAATGGCGTAATTAATCTATCCCAATCCGTGCTGTCCCGTCAACTTGCTCCTTGATGGAATCCACCTTCTGTGCCAGAGTCTGAATCTCAGCCAAAGTTCCAAGCTTATGACTCATCTCGACAATTATATGAGTCTGTGCGTTCACAGCGCGGTGTAATCCATCCCTGAGCTCCGGGAAAGAGCCAATATTCCTCGACAGCTCATTAATTTTCCGGTAAACTAGGTAACCACTCAGGCCAAACAGCAGGAATCCCAACACCACGAATATCCAGACGTCTTCAGAATCCTCTACAGACAGTTGAGAGAGGCAGATCAGGTTCCACTGTTTCCAGGAGTCCATGATACGCCCAGCTGGCTCTGTCCCAGAGGAGCATCCGGGAGCCCCTTCTCCCGTTCTCATCGTTGAAAAAACTTTGTCAAACGCGTTGAGAGACCAACTGACCAGGTCCAGTTTAGTAATTTCAGTTTCCAGTTTCCAGAAAAAAATGCAGAAGCGCCGTACACCCAAAGACAGACAAAGAGCCTTGGGATAAGATAGGGAGGAGAAGAGGAAATAAGCGTCTGTACTCTCCAAGAGCCGGAAGAAGAACAGAGATGTCCAAATTTCAGAAAATAAAACTCCAAATCCTGTCGTCTGAAGCTCCTTTGCCCTCTGGCTGAATTCTCCGTGCTGAAACAGGAGCACCGAAGCTTTTTCCCCCAGAGTACACATTACAAGTCATTCCCTCCTATAGGGACCGATATATATCAACAATATGAGTGAAGGAGCTCTTTCAACAGTAATCATCTCAAAAGTCGGAGTGCAGCATAGGTCATTTCACTTTTTTATTCACTCAAACTTTTGCTGCACAGGGTCTTGGCTTTATTTAATACTTGGAGTCCCTCACCCATGTTTACAAGGTGTAGTGGTTTTCAAGATTAAAAAGTCAGTAAAATGGTTTGCACTGCGTCATGAACAGAACTTGGAGGACCCGTGATGACACCAAACACAGTAAGATTTTTTTAACTGTCTTTATTAGCCAGAAGCTAATAGGAGGCGTTACCGGAGAAAACCCAGGTAAGGGCAGAGTCGAAGGCAGGAGTGGGTTGAAACCAGATCGAAACGAAGCAGGTACAGGGAGCAGGCTGGAGACGCGGTCATAGACAGGCTAGGGGCGTGGTGGCAGGCAGAGTTCTTGGTGGTGGTCAGGCGTGGAAACGAGGTCAAGGGACTGTGATCAGGCAGGAAGGAGGGCTGGAAGATTTACTGGCAAAAGCGTTCAATAATCTGCCGCTGGATGGTTGGATGGCCGGTTCTTAAGTAGCAGGGGAAGCAGGTGTGTGTGATGAGCTGAGGAGTCAGGATCAGGTGAAGTGGAAGAAGCTGATGAGATGCAGACTGGGATTGCTGTGGAAACAAGGTTTGGCTGGGGCTAGATGAGGTGACCAGGTGTGAAGCAGGAAGGCTGATGAGGTGAATGATGGTGCATGGAGGTCAAGGCATGGCAGGATCATGACACTGTGGTCTGTTTTTCTGATTTCTTCTTTCTCTTCCTGCGCAGGAGAAGCAGAGAATGACCGATAAGCTGGAGGATACGAGTCTGAGGCTGAAAGATGAGATGGATCTGTACAGAATGATCATGGACAAGCTTTGGCATGACCGCCATGAGTTTCAGAAGGAAAAAGAGTCAATGCAAGAGGTGAGGCAGTCTTTGTCAACTTTAAAGGTGAACATAGGAATCTGAGTCTACATTAGACCTTGTTTTGTGTGTGTGTGTGTGTGTGTGTGTGTGTGTGTGTGTGTGTGTGTGTGTGTGTGTGTGTGTGTGTGTGTGTGTGTGTGTGTGTGTGTGTGTGTGTGTGTGTGTGTGTGTGTGTGTGTGTGTGTGTGTGTGTGTGTGTGCAGTTGATTGATGATCTTCGCCGCGAGCTGGATTATCTGCAGTTGTTCAAATTGGAAATGGAACATCCTGGAATGAGCAAGGGGTTGTCTGAGTACAACGCCAAAACACGGGAGATGGAAATGGAGCACGAAGTCAAGAGACTGAAACAGGTCTACAGAACTAACTAAACTGTCTTCCTCTCTTTCAGTTCAGTTGAAACAAAACTACATCTGTGGCCAGTGAAGCAAAGCTGGAGCCAGTTTCTAGTTCACCTAACACTAGAGTTGTGTCACCTCCTTCCTGTCGGTGTGGTGTGTGAAACCATGGACCTCCTTTGCTGTTACACTTCTGAATCAGTGAGGGAGCAGCCGGCTCTGTTGTGATCAGCCTAGCTTATCGATAACATTTCAGCTTAAAGGCGATGACCAGGTTCAAAGACAGAGACGTGCAAGATGGCCGACATTTGAACGAGTGTTTAAACATCATAGCGGTTCTCCCTCCATATCCTGAAGGATGTGAAGAGCTAAACTAACATGCAGAGACAATCTGTTATTGTTAGGCGCCACTTATGCATCGTGGAAAGCCGGGGTAGCATTAATCAGCTCACAGGGAAGAACTCCGAGCAGGCTCTGGCCGGTGCTAGTGTAGGAGACTGATGAGCTGAGCCTTCAAGGGTTACTTGAAGATAGCAGGGATACCCGTTTTAGTTGCACTGAGTAGGTGAGTCCACCACCGTGGAACAACACAGGAAGTGACCCAGCCGTGACAAAGGCATTTGCAAGAGGATTAGAGTAGATGAAAGACGTGCCGTTCACACCTGCGTATGCTAACGTTGGTACCTTGAGTTTATGTGGTTGGCGATGGATGGCCAGTGGTGCTCAACAAACGGAGGGGTGACATGTGCTCGTTTAGGCTGACTGAAGAAGCAGCGCTGCTTTCTGGACCACCTGCAGAGGTTTCACAGTACAAGCCAGTTAGAATAGCATATATTACATGAATGCATTCAGACATCTTTGTAAAATGTCATTTTGCTTCTTTAGGGGAACTTTAAGCTGCGAGACCAGAACGACGACCTCAATGCTCAAATCCTCAGTTTGAGTTTGTATGAAGCTAAGAACTTGTTTTCCTGCCATACCAAGGTCCAGTGTCTAGCAGCTGAGATCGACAACGCTTCAAGAGATGAGGTTAGTCTAATGATGGTCATGTGAGGAAACAGTGCTTTATTTGATTTGTGGATGGCCCCACACTAAAACTCCCCCCCCCCCCTTTTTTTTTAGCTGGTTGGCGCTTTGAGGAAACAGGAAGAGATCAACCTGCGTCTGAGGCAATACATGGACAAAATTATTCTTGCTATTCTCGATCACAATCCTTCTATCCTGGAGATTAAGAATTAAACGTTCCACGCTTGCACTCACGTGGGTATGATTGTGTTAATCTAAATTAGACATTTAATTCATGGTCAATGTACAAAAAAAACATTGTAAATAGCCTTCATATTATATATCACCTTCTAGAGTCCTAGAACCCCCCAAGGTGATTTACAATCATCCACCAATGCATGCAGACATTGATGAGCCACAATAGTCAGTTTCCCTGAGGCCATCTGACAGGAGCAAGACAGCCACAATGGACGCCACCTGTCCCTCCGACCAGCAACGGCATGGTGGCTGAATGGCTAGATGTGGCTGAATGGCCAGATGTGGCTGAATGACCAACATGGTGGCTGAATAACCAGATGTGGCTGAATGGCCAGATATGGCTGAATGACCAACATGGTGGCTGAATGACCAGATGTGGCTGAATGACCAGCATGGTGGCTGAATGACCAGATGTGGCTGAATGACCAGATGTGGCTGAATGACCAACATGGTGGCTGAATGACCAGATTTGGCTGAATGACCAACATGGTGGCTGAATGACCAGATGTGGCTGAATGGCCAGATGTGGCTGAATGACCAACATGGTGGCTGAATGACCAGATTTGGCTGAATGACCAACATGGTGGCTGAATGACCAGATGTGGCTGAATGACCAGCATGGTGGCTGAATGACCAGCATGGTGGCTGAATGGCCAGATGTGGCTGAATGGCCAGCATGGTGGCTGAATGACCAGATGTGGCTGAATGACCAACATGGTGGCTGAATGACCAGATGTGGCTGAATGACCAACATGGTGGCTGAATGACCAGATGTGGCTGAATGACCAGATGTGGCTGAATGACCAGCATGGTGGCTGAATGACCAGATGTGGCTGAATGACCAACATGGTGGCTGAATGACCAGATGTGGCTGAATGACCAGCATGGTGGCTGAATGACCAGCATGGTGGCTGAATGACCAGATGTGGCTGAATGACCAACATGGTGGCTGAATGACCAACATGGTGGCTGAATGACCAGCATGGTGGCTGAATGACCAGATGTGGCTGAATGACCAACATGGTGGCTGAATGACCAACATGGTGGCTGAATGACCAGCATGGTGGCTGAATGGCCAGATGTGGCTGATTGGCCAGATGTGACTGAATGACCAGATTTGGCTGAATGGCCAGATGTGGCTGATTGGCCAGATGTGACTGAATGACCAGATTTGGCTGAATGGCCAGATGTGACTGAATGGCCAGCATGGTGGCTGAATGGCCAGATGTGGCTGAATGACCAACATGGTGGCTGAATGACCAGATGTGGCTGAATGGCCAGATGTGGCTGATTGGCCAGATGTGACTGATTGGCCAGATGTGACTGAATGACCAGATTTGGCTGAATGGCCAGATGTGGCTGATTGGCCAGATGTGACTGAATGACCAGATTTGGCTGAATGGCCAGATGTGACTGAATGACCAGATGTGGCTGAATGGCCAGATGTGACTGAATGGCCAGCATGGTGGCTGAATGACCAGATGTGGCTGAATGGCCAGATGTGGCTGAATGGCCAGATGTGACTGATTGGCCAGATGTGACTGAATGACCAGATTTGGCTGAATGGCCAGATGTGGCTGATTGGCCAGATGTGACTGAATGACCAGATTTGGCTGAATGGCCAGATGTGACTGAATGACCAGATGTGGCTGAATGGCCAGATGTGACTGAATGGCCAGCATGGTGGCTGAATGACCAGATGTGGCTGAATGGCCAGATGTGGCTGAATGGCCAGATGAGGCTGAATGACCAGATGTGGCTGAATGGCCAGCATGGTGGCTGAATGACCAGATGTGGCTGAATGACCAGCATGGTGGCTGAATGGCCAGATGTGGCTGAATGGCCAGATGTGGCTGAATGACCAGATGTGGCTGAATGGCCAGCATGGTGGCTGAATGACCAGATGTGGCTGAATGACCAGATGTGGCTGAATGACCAGATGTGGCTGAATGGCCAGCATGGTGGCTGAATGACCAGATGTGGCTGAATGACCAGCATGGTGGCTGAATGGCCAGATGTGGCTGAATGACCAGATGTGGCTGAATGACCAGATGTGGCTGAATGGCCAGCATGGTGGCTGAATGACCAGATGTGGCTGAATGACCAGCATGGTGGCTGAATGGCCAGATGTGGCTGAATGGCCAGATGTGGCTGAATGACCAGATGTGGCTGAATGGCCAGCATGGTGGCTGAATGACCAGATGTGGCTGAATGGCCAGATGTGGCTGAATGACCAGATGTGGCTGAATGGCCAGCATGGTGGCTGAATGACCAGATGTGGCTGAATGACCAGCATGGTGGCTGAATGGCCAGATGTGGCTGAATGGCCAGATGTGGCTGAATGACCAGATGTGGCTGAATGGCCAGCATGGTGGCTGAATGACCAGATGTGGCTGAATGGCCAGATGTGGCTGAATGACCAGATGTGGCTGAATGGCCAGCATGGTGGCTGAATGACCAGATGTGGCTGAAACGATGTTCCAGCACTTTTTAATAATCGTGAATCACTTTGCATCTGATTATCGAGTCTGGTGTTGTTTTAGTGAATCTTATCTGATGATGTTCAGTCATCTGGATGACGGTGGCAGAGGAGTTTAGTTCCTGCCCATGACTGAAAGGTTGCTGGTTCTAACCCTGTCTGTTGCTGTCCTTGTGTCCTTGGGCAAGACACTTCCACCTGCTGGTGGTGGTCGGAGGGACCGGTGGTGCCTGTTAATGGCAGCATATCTGTGTCGGTGTGCCCCAGGGCGGCTGTGGTTACAGTGTAGCTCATCATCATCAGCGTGTGAATGGATGAATGACCGTTATGTTGTGAAGCTCGCCCCGTAATCGGGAGGTTGCAGGTTCAAGCCCCACTCAGTCTGTCGCTGTCGTTGGGCAAGACACTTTCCTTCGTGCCTGCTGGTGGTGGTCTGAAGAACCGGCGGCACCAGCGCTCTGCAGCCTCGCCTTTGTCAGTGCGCCCCAGGACAGCTGTAGCTACACTGTAGCTCATCACCACCAGGGTATGAATGTGTGTGTGTGTGTGTGTGTGTGTGTGTGTGTGTGTGTGTGTGTGTGTGTGTGTGTGTGTGACTGACTGTATTGTAAAGCGCCAGGACTCTAGAAGGTGCTGTTTCAAATACAGGCCATTTACCATTTATAAAGCACCTTGGGGGGTTCTAGGACTAGAGAAAGCACTCAGAAAACACAGAACATTCACCATTTTTGCCGTAACATTTTTGTTGTTATTCAAACTTAATGTACAGGAAAAAATGCAGACGTGTATTTAATTTTATTTTTTGAGTTACTGCAATTATTCCTGTTTGTCTTACTTCTTACTAAGTCGTAATACTTCACACAGGGTATCCGCGGGTCCTTAAGTCTTAAGTCTTAAATTGGCTTTTCCAAATTTAAGGCCTTAAAAATCCTTAAAAATGACAAATAATCCTTAAATACAGTTTCCAAAGGTCTTAAATTACCAAAGACCCAATTAACAACTCTTTTATTTCTAAAATTTTTTTTGTGAATTTCTAGTTTGTGTTCAGCATTTTTTGTGTATGACATTTGCATAAGTGGAACCGTACACATTCAGTTGGTTGTGAAAAGGGGCTATTTTTAGATGAGCACATTAGCTGGTTAAGCTATTGGGAGCTTGCGCCATGGGGAAGTGCAAGTTTAATGGTAACTGGATGGCTAATCCCACGTTCGCAACGTGGTTAGCACCGGTTCCAGGCAATAGCTGGAAATTATAGCTTAAATTTAATTGAAAAAAAAAAAAGCTTATATTTGGTCAAAGTGGCCTTAAAAAAGGTCTTAAAAAGTCTTAAATTTGGCTCACTTAAACCTGCAGATACCCTGTTCACATTAAAACCTGCTCCTCGTTTTAAGATAAATAACAAAGACTGTACTGCTCACTGACATTTCTCTAAGTACAGCTGATACAAGACCCAGTAAACATGTTTACAGGATTTTATTAAGGAAAATCAGAAATGCTCATCTTGTATTTGAGGTAGATTGATTCCAGTCTGTATAGTTTCCTAAGACTTGGTGAATCTTTCTTGATGAACAGAATGTTTTTACTTGAAAAGTTTCCACACATTAGCAAACACTTAAGATGTAAACGATGTGAAACAGTGAACCACAGCATCGCTGAGTGTGTGACGTGGAGCCTTATAGGAGTAGCTCGAGCTCTTCTGTTGTCTTGTCTGTGGATAAATCAACATTTATGAGTATTTGCATGTTAAATGAAGCATTCTGATGTTCAGTTAAAACGGACATTCACATCATTAACTGTGATTATAATGCAGATGTGTCTCAAAATGTGCCAACAATACTTGCCAAAATCATTTCTTTATTTGTGGACATGTTGTTACAAGTTAAAGAATAAACAGGATCTTTATACAGGAGCTGGATGGCTGATTCCATGTTATACAAGAATAAAGACTGCAACCATCAACGGATGTGGAGTTTCTGTAACGATTGTGTTTGCCAGTTATTGCGTTACTATAGAAGAAAGAAGAAACTGTCCTTTAGCGTCTCTCAAGATAAACATTTCTAGGTGCTTCACAAGAACAAAAATAAAAATGTATTTAAAATTTTCATAATAATGAGAAAATAAAACATTATGATTAAAAAAAGTGAGCAAAGGGAAAAAGAAAATCAGTAAGAAAGAAGTAATGAGTATGAGAATTGAATGAGGGGAAGACGATAGTGAAGAATCAACTGAAGGTCCCACCAAAGCCTGAACAGGCGAGTCTTCAGCTGCTTCTTAAGGGAGAACTCTGAGTCCACTGATCTCAGGCTCAGACGGAGAGAGTCTGGGGGCCACAGCAGCAGATGTCACCTAAAGGTCACCTTTAACCTTTAGCCTGGTGCTGCATAACCAGTAGGCTTTGGTCACTGGAACTCAGGGACCTGCTGGGGGTGTAGGGACTAAGAAGATCACCAATGTAAGATGGTGCTTGTCCATGTAAGGCCCTATAGACCAGAACCAGGATCTTGAAATGAACCCTGAAGTTGACTGGCAGCCAGTGAAGCTGGAGGAGAAGCGGGGTGATGTGGGTGTGTTTGGAGGACTTGGTCAGAAGCCGAGCACAGGCGTTCTGAACCACCTGTAGACGGTTCAGGGAGGTTCTGCTCAGACACGTGAAAAGAGAGTTACAGTAGTCTGTGTCATGTTTGGGGGAAGGCGCCTAACCCAAGACATGCAGAACACACAGACCAAAAAATTGGATGAAAAAAAATTTACAAAAAAGAACTGAAGTTGCACTGAGTGTCAGTGGTTTGTTCACAGACACAGGAGCTCTGCGTCTGGAGGAGGGAGAACACTGGTGAGTATTAGCAGGTATGTCCTGAGGTCCATTTATGTCCTAAGGTAGGTTCGATGGACTTACAGTCAGGTAAGAGTAGTTGGCTGGAGGAGAGAGCATGTCGAGAGCCAGGAGAAGCGCAGGAGAGGGAGCAAAGGTGGAGATGAGCAGAGCATCCTGGTGGATGGGAGACACAGAGCCGAAATGTCCGGTGAGTCGTTATGGAGAATGGTGAGTGGGTCCTGGAGGTTCTGAGTTTACAAACTCAGGAGTCCTGAGGTGAGTATCCAAATGGCTCCGCGTCCAGAGGGAAACACTGGAATCCAGTAGTTAAGTAAAATCCAAAAAGTCTAAATCCTAGAGCAAAACACTACTAGCAAAGATTAATCCTAGAGATCCTAGAGAACATGCGTGGCTGGGTACTACCAAGCTGTGGCAATCTTCCAGTGTCAAATTGTGTCCTCCATCCACCTTAAGTAGGAAGCACCCCGCTGATTGCAGATCCGGAACAGCTGGTGGCACTCCCTCTCCTGGCAAGACTCTAGAGATGTTAAGTGAATGAGGAGTACTCACCCCGGCTCATGACAAAGCGTGAGGAGATGAAGGTGAGGAGAACTGTCTCAAGTTCAGAGCGGGACAGAATGGGACTCAGCTTAGCAATGTTCCTGAGATGGAAGAAGGAAGAGCCAACAAGAGAACTGACATGAGAATCCAGGGTGAGAGCTGGGTCAAAGGTCACGCCAAGATTCCTGACAGAAGGTTTGGTGTGAGAAGCAAGCTGACCAAGAGAGTCTTTGACTTTGGGAACCAGCTTGTCTGGGGCACAGATGAGGACCTCCGTCTTATCTTCATTCAGCTGAAGAAAGCTCCCAGACATCCAGGTTTTGATAGAGTCTAAGCAGGTGTGTAACAGCTGCAGCTTAGACATCTCATGGGGCTTGAAGGAGATGTACAGTTGGATGTCATCTGCATAAAGATGGTAGGAGATTCCTTTAAAGGAGCTCAGGATGTGCTGAAGAGGAAGCAGATAAAGGAGGAAAAGCAGAGGCCCCAGCACAGAACCTTGTGGGACACCATGGGTGAGGGAGGTGGTGGAGGACCTAAACTTGGAGACGGCCACAGAGAAGGAGCGCTCAGAGAGATAAGAGGAGAACCACTCCAGAGCAGTTCCTGATAGGCCTACCCAGTCTCTCAGCCTCTCCAGTAGCAGGTGATGGTCAACAGTGTCAAAGGCTGCAGTCAGGTCCAGCAGGACCAGAACAGAACAGTCCCCTGCATCACTGTGAGTCAGAAGGTCATTAGAGACCCTAAGAAGAGCTGTTTCAGTAGAATGAGCTCTACGAAAACCTGACTGGAAGCTATCATAGATGTTATGTTCATCAAGAGCAGCTGTGAGTTGTTTAGCCACAACCTTTTCCAAGATCTTGGAGATAGTGGTTTTATAGTGCCTGGATAACTGTAAACACAAATGTATCAAATACAGTAAACAAGAACTTGCTAAATGGCCTATATTCATATAGCGCCTTCTAGAGTCCCAAAGGGACAAGGCATGTTATAACACAACAGTCATTTCTCCATACACACATTCACATGCTGGCTGTGATGATCCACAATGTATTCACAGCACCCCTGGCACTAACTGCTATACACACTATGCGTGTCTGGTTCTGTGTGACCACCATCGCCAAGGCAGGTGAATAAAGCGTCAGACAACTTATTTTTAAAATGAGGGCACAATTCATAATAACAAGGTGCATATAAACAGGCTATGCTGTGGAGAGTGAAACTAATCATGGATGTAAGGATCAGTGTACACCGTGTGACGTTTTCAGTTGCTGCATTCAGCTCCAACTCAAACTGTACGACTCTCACAGAGCAAAGCTCACGAGTCATGTTCTCACACTGTACAGCCCAGTGCTGAGATGTGACCTGACGATACGTGTGGTAGCAACACGTCGGACCTAAAAATATGCCAAGAATCGTTTTTACACAACGCATCAGACCTTTGAGTCCAAAGGACCGGAGACTGTTGTGCTGTTATTGTTGTCTGCTGTCCTTGAGAGGCTTGCTGTAGTTGTAGGAGGACACATGGGTTAATGGGGTTGGAGGAGGAAGACTATTGAAAGGACGTAACCTAAGATTTTTGGATCTGTTTTATTTGACATAAACACAGCACACACACTTTTTTGAGAAATAGCTAAATTGGAAGACCAATAAGCTGAAAACATTTTTTTCATGCCTCGTAACAACATTCTAACTTACAGGTGCTGGCCAGTAAATTAGAATATCATCAAAAGGTTGAAAATATTTCAGTAATTCCATTCAAAACGTGAAACTTGTACATTATATTCATGCAATGCACACAGACCAATGTATTTCCAATGTTCATTACATTTAAATTTGATATTCATAAGTGACAACTAATGAAAACTCCAAATTTGGTATCTCAAAAAATTAGAATATTCTGAAAAGGCTGAATATAGAAGACACCTGCTGCCACTCTAATCAGCTGATTTACTCAAAACACCTGCAAAGGCCTTTAAAAGGTCCCTCAGTCTTGTTTTGAAGGCACCACAATCATGGGGAAGACTTCTGACTTAACAGCTGTCCAAAAGACAATCATTGACACCTTGCACAAGGAGGGCAAGACACAAAAGGTGATTGCTAAAGAAGCTGGCTGTTCGCAGAGCTCTGTGTCCAAGCACATTAACAGACAGGCGAAGGGACGGAAAAAATGTGGTAGAAAAAAGTGTACAAGCTCTAGGGATAACCGCACCCTGCAGAGAATTGTGACGACAAACCCATTCAAAAATGTGGGGGAGATCCACAAAGAGTGGACTGCAGCTGGAGTCAGCGCTTCAAGAACCACCACGAGGAGACTCATGAAAGACATGGGATTCAGGTGTCGCATTCCGTGTGTCAAGCCACTCTTGAACAAGAAACAGCGCAAGAAGCGTCTCGCCTGGGCCAAGGACAAAAAGGACTGGACTGATGCTGAGTGGTCCAAAGTTATGTTTTCTGATGAAAGCAAGTTCTGCATTTCCTTTGGAAATCAAGGACCCAGAGTCTGGAGGAAGAGCGGAGAAGCACAGAATCCACGTTGCATGAGGTCCAGTGTAAAGTTTCCACCGTCAGTGATGGTGTGGGGTGCCATGTCATCTGCCGGTGTTGGCCCACTCTGTTTCCTGAGGTCCAGGGTCAATGCAGCCGTCTACCAGGAAGTTTTAGAGCACTTCATGCTTCCTGCTGCTGACCAACTTTATGGGGATGCAGACTTCACCTTTCAACAGGACTTGGCACCTGCACACAGTGCCAAAACCACCAGCACCTGGTTCAAGGACCATGGTATCCCTGTCCTTGATTGGCCAGCAAACTCGCCTGACCTTAACCCCATAGAAAATCTATGGGGTATTGTGAAGCGGAGGATGCAATACGCTAGACCCAACAATGCAGAGGAGCTGAAGACGACTATCAGAGCAACCTGGGCTCTCATAACACCTGAGCAGTGCCACAGACTGATCGAGTCCATGCCACGCCGCATTACTGCAGTTATTGAGGCAAAAGGAGCCCCGACTAAGTATTGAGTGCTATACATGCACATTCTTTTCATGTTCATTCTTTTCAGTTGGCCAACATTAGAGAAACAAACATTTTTTCATTGGCCTTTAGAATATTCTAATTTTTTGAGATACCAGATTTGATGTTTTCATTGGTTGTCACCTATAAATATCAAAATTAAACGTAATAAACATCGGAAATACATTGGTCTGTGTGCATTGCATGAATATAATGTACAGTTTCACGTTTTGAATGGAATTACTGAAATATTTTCAACCCTTTGATGATATTCTAATTTACTGGCCAGCACCTGTAGTATAAATGCACTGCTCAAAAATAAAGATAGCACTTAACATGATGTGACTCCAAGTCAGTCACACTTCTGTGAAATCAGACTGTCCACTTAAGCCTAGTTCATGCTTCTGCGTCTCAACGCCATTATCCACCCTTGCAAGTGTAGAAGTGTAAATATGTTGTTTTTAAGCTTAATATATTACCTTTACTTATGACCAATAAGCTGTGATATTTTATATAAATATAGAATATCAACCTTATTAGTCTTTGAATGTTTAATCAGAAGAATTAGGAT